GTGCCGGCGCAGGGGGCGCAGTGCGAGCGCAAGGGTGCCGGCGCTCGCCGAGCTGGTGCTGCCTCCAGGTGCGCCTGGGGCCAGGGCCTGGAGGCCGTCCCGTGGCGGGGGGCGGCTGTGGCCATGGCGCGGCCGGGCCCCGCCCCGTGGGACGAGACGGCTGCGGCTCAGGGGGGGATGCAGTGCGGGCTGGGGGTGGCAGGCGTGGATCCCCGACTGGGCGTTGGGCTGGGCCGTGCTGGGGCTGACCCGCCCCCCCTCCTGCTGCGGGCGACTCCCCGCCATGGGCGCGCGGATCGATGGGCTACTGGAGCTACATGCGCTGGGCATGGGAACTCCGCGGATTCTGGGAATGGCTCAGTACACCTGGTCGACTAGGTACGCTCGCTACCGATTGGGGCTGGACGGGCTCGGTGTATCGATTTTGGGCCACTGGTGGAGCACCGCGATGTGCTGCCGCATGGTGGCGGTGATCACCTTCCTCCTCGAGACGCATGCGTACTGCGTCAACGCCGTGCTGGTGAAGGCCTCTTAGATAGGTCGAGGTTTTTCGGCGCCAGCTCGCGCAGTGGTGCGGGCGAGCGCCTCTGGGGCCCGCCGCTGCGCGTCGTTGGCGAGGGCCAGGGGTCGGGGGTGAGACGGAGGCCGCATATTGCCAGTGGTGCGCGCGAGGCCGCGGCACATGGCGGCAAACCCACCCCCATTTGCTGCGCAAGAGCTGGCATGTTGCCCGCGGGAAGTGCGATTTCAGGGGGGAGCCCCAGCTGGATCGGCACGGGCCAAATGTTCGGCTGGACGAGGTGCTTAGCTGCACTAGCTGGCAATGGCTGCAAGGCCTCACAGCGCTGGGCACGGTGCACCTGTGTCGCGCGCCCGGGTCTGACTGCGACCGTCCCATGCGCGTCGACCAGTGCGCCGCGATCAACCGCGCCCAGATCGTCCATCTTGCGGAGCACGCCCGGGCGACGCCCGCCCGTATTGTGCGGGCCAGTTGGTGCAAGGCCTGGGGAGGCCTGTGGTGCGTCCTGCGCTGGGCCTGGGTTCTTTTCGCGTGTTGCTGCCGTTCGAGGCCCCAGGGCATCGTCAGGGAGACCGACGGCCTGCGGTCGCTGGCCGCCGAGTCCCGAGAGTGAGCTCGACGACGAGGAGCGGCCCTGCTTCGCCATCAAGGTGGGGGTTCAGCCGGCGACGGGGGCACGCCCAGTGCAACCTCTGGGTGCTGCGACCAGTGGCTTGCGAGCAGATGCCGTTGCGCATGTGCCAGTGTGGCCACGCGCAGATGTACGTACCCGGTCTACTTGGGTGGGGCAAAAGTGCTCTCCGGTCACCCGCCACCGCGTGGCCAACGGGTCCATTGGGGGGCCCCCATGTGCGGGGCGCGCGCGCCGTGCCAGCTCGGCCAGGGGGGCGCGTCGGGGCCGCCCACGCGGGGCTCTTCTAGGGGCGGGCGGTCGCATGTCGCATCCCGCTCAGCATGCGGGCGCGGGTCCGCGGTGGGCGGGGGTGGCCGGCCCGCGCCGGCCCGACCGCGGCAGCTGACGACCGACGGGGCGGGCGCGTTGAGCATTGATGTCCAGGGCGGAGTTTGGGCACGGGGCCGCGAGCCCAGCATGGAAAGGCTGCCCTCCGCGCCCCGGTCGGCCCGGGCACCCTGTGCAAGATCTGCTTTGCTGGGCGCGCTGCCCAGGGGCATGGATGTCGCCGACGACCCAGACACCGGGCGTCTCGAAAAAAACCGAGACGGAGGTTTTCCGTATTTTTTGGCTTCTCGGGGCCATCGTCGAGCCTCGGGGCCGTCAAAGAACGCTTCGGGATGAGAAACCGATCCTGGGGAATTTGTCGGGAGGTCGGGGGCACTTGTCTCGAAGAAATCGAGGCGTCGGATGTGCGGGGATGGGCCCGGCGCTCTTGCCCTGTGGGCCGTGGCGCCGGATGGCCACGACGACGTGGACAAGGCCTTGGGCGCGGTGGCGATGGTGCTGGACTTGGCGCTCGAGGAGTCTGCCGACGGAGCCCAGAGGGCGCGTCGAGGGCCGCGAGCAGCGTGCCCTGGCACGCTTGGGGGCGAGGTGGCAGGGGCCAGCCCCGCCGGCAAGCGGCCGTGGGCCCCTCGGCCGGCCCCCCGCGGGCGCCGCGGGCTCGCGGCCGCCCGGCGGTGGCGAGAGGGGCCGCCCAGCACAGCTGCTGGGTCTGATGCCGGATTGCCTGCAGCCACCTCGCCGCTCGGGCAGCGCGCGCGAGAGGAAAAGCATCGGCCGAGCAAGGCTGGCGGGTGCGACCTGTCGGGGGCGGCGTGCAGTCGCCGGCTCAGGTGGTGCGGGCCGCTTCTGGAGAAGCTGCGCGCGGGGCCGCGGGGCCAAAAAAGCTCGGGAGATTTCAACTGTGCAGAGTGCGTGGCGAAGTCTTGGTGGGCCGCCGTGATCCTCGGCGCCCGCGAGCAGGTTCCCTATCAGTCGCCAGGCTGGAGTTTGAGTGATCAGGTCCAAGTGGACGCGGGCGA